AAACTTACATAATCAAAATAAATCTCTAATGTAAGCTATAGAGTTTTTTATCTTCCACTATACTTTTTAGCCAAAAAAATTAATTTAGAGGTGTCAATTTCTTTAGAAGAAAATCGAATCGACTTGCAAAAGAGTCAAAGGCATAAAAGATGTCCTACTTTTAATTCTTAAAATTACCATTTCAAATGTCAAAACAGAATTCAATGAGCATGCGTATTCTAATGCCATCTTTCTGCGCACGCCAACAATTCGTAACTGTTGAAATGGTTACACGTCATTTGTTTTCGTCAAAGCCATATATAACTACATCATCACCATGAGTTACTACTCATAACGAACAAAGTCAAACATTTTTCATCGCTTCCAGTCTCTACGGTACGGTCTCCTGCACGATTAAAATACAACATGCACACATTTTCCACATTACCCGTCGAAATTGTCTATCGAATCATGGATCATCAACATGAGCTGACACTATTTTGCTCTATGCAAAATATTTCCCGTCGGCTCAATCAGATCCTGAGCACCTATGACCGATATCGAGTAAGTTTCCTTGGCACCTTAACACTCTTGTCGGTTGTTCTACATGTAAGCCTAGTGATATTTCACGTCATAAATTTCCTCATAGAACGAGGTAAACTAATCTCATAGTCCCCATATAATATGGTCGAATAAGACAATCGCAGTGTGAAGTCGTATGAAATCAAGCATTCCTCCACTCTCTCGCCTTTCTCCTATGTATCCTGCACTATTCGATACAAAAGTGTATCAACTATCACTTTTGATGAAACTTCCCAATTCAAGCAAACTGATCTCCACAATTTCTGGGTCTATGCCCATATTAATTCTCACTCTCACCCACACCAAATCCAACTCCCACATATCATGAAAGCAGGACTTCTATTTCATTGGAGCGCACCATCAAAAGAGATATCTCACTACAATCAATAACTATTGATAGTTATACCCTACTCTTTCTACTCGGTCAGCTCACCGTAGTCTCCTCTCTATATTACCAACACAGGACTTCTTCACTAAACGCAGTCTTTCCTACGCCACAACTACCACCATCATTCACCCCGAAAAACTGACATCTATATCCAACTGCTCCGTACAAATCGTCCCCCAACATGCCTATTTCCTATCACACATATGCAATCAGAAGCATAAAAAAAGGTTCTCTTAACTACTTCTCCTTTTCATAATATATTACTTTATTGTAGACATTCAGCACACTAAACCTCCAACGCCGCAGAATCGGTGATGAAGGGGCAGAACGCATTGCGAATGCGTTGCGAATGAACACGGTACTATTGATCTCATTTCACGGAGGGTGATGTACTCAGTCTCTCTCACACCTACAGACACTCACCACACTAAACCTCTGGCACAACGAAATCGGTGCTGAAGGAGCACAATACATTGCGGATGCATTGCGAACGAACACGGTAATATTGATCTCATTTCACGGAAGGTGAAGTACTCAATCTCTCTAACACCTACAGACACTCACCACGCTAGATCTCAGCTATAACGGAATCGGTGCTAGAGGAGCACAACACATTGCGGAAGCGTTGCGAACGAACACGGTAATATTGATCTCATTTCACGGAAGGTGAAGTACTCAATCTCTCTAACACCTACAGACACTCACCACACTAAACCTCGTTTCGAACATAACCTTTGCTGAAGGAGCACAATACATTGCGGATGCATTGCGAACGAACACGGTAATATTGATCTCAGTTCACGGAAGATGAAGTACTCACTCTCTCTCAAACCCACAGACACTTACCACGCTAAAACTCGATTTGAACGTAATCGGTGATGAAGGGGCACAACACATTGCGGATGCATTGCGAACGAACAGGGTAATATTGATCTCATTTCACGGAAGGTGAAGTGCTCAGTGTGTCTCACACCTACAGACACTCACCACGCTAGATCTCGGCTATAACGGAATCGGTGCTAGAGGAGCACAACACATTGCGGATGCGTTGCGAGCGAACAGGATAATATTGATCTCATTTCACGGAAGGTGAAGTACTCAGTTTCTCTCACACCTACAGACACTCACCACGCTAAACATCGAGTCGAACGCAATGAGTACTGAAGGAGCACAACACATTGCGGATGCGTTGCGAGCGAACAGGGTAATATTGATCTCATTTCACGGAAGGTGAAGTACTCAGTTTCTCTCACACCTACAGACACTCACCACGCTAAAGTTCGGCTATAACAGAATCGGTGCTGAAGGAGCACAATACATTGCGGATGCATTGCGAACGAACACGGTAATATTGATCTCAGTTCACGGAAGGTGAAGTACTCAGTCTCTCTCACACCTACAGACACTCACCACACTAAACCTCACGTGGAACGGAATCAGTGATGAAGGAGCACAACACATTGCGGATGCGTTGCGAACGAACACGGTAATATTGATCTCATTTCACGGAAGGTGAAGTACTCAGTCTCTCTCACAGCTACAGACACTCACCACGCTAGATCTCGACTATAACGGAATCGGTGATGAAGGGGCACAACGCATTGCGGATGCATTGCGAACGAACACGGTAATATTGATCTCATTTCACGGAAGGTGAAGTGCTCAGCCTCTCCCACACCTACAGACACTCACCACACTAGACCTCCGTAGTAACCAAATCGGTGCTGGAGGAGCAGAACACATTGCGGATTCGTTGCGAACGAACACGGTAATATTGATCTCAGTTCACGGAAGGTGAAGTACTCAGTCTCTCTCACACATACAGACACTCACCACGCTAAGGTTCGGCTATAGCAGAATCGGTGACGAAGGAGCACAGCGCATTGAGGATGCGTTGCGTAGGAATGCAGTAAGACCGATGCTTTGTTGAAAGAAATTTCGAATATCTGATTTATCTAATTGTTAGAGCATCAATATGGTGTAGATCTCGCACTGGATGGAATGGGAGGACAAGTGATAGTTGATCTGGTGACTCTTTGCGTAGAAAGGGTGCTTTTTGATTGAGAAATTAGTCGATATCATTTGGTGTTGTGATTTTGGTGACGATGAGGAGTAGTGAAGAAATAGAAAATTAATTTTGTTGTGAGAAGTGGATGTCACCAGAATAAGAATGCTTTTTGTTGTGGGAAAATATATGTGGAATAGTGGATGTGAATGGTTTATTTATGGAGGTATAACGTAGTGCTTGACGGAAGAGCTGTGATGGTACAATGCGTTTAGGGGAGGTTCTCTTGGTCTGGAATTTTTTCCTGAAAGTGTGTGATTGACAAGACAACATTGCTGCAGACTGTTTGACTCTATTGGAGATTGAATAGAATTGAATCGACAGGAGTACAGCACGTATGCATTTTACAGGTCGGATCTTGTAAAACCAAAGTGATCAGACCATGGCACATTGAATGGGAACGACGTTTCATTAATATCTAGCTGTTTCATGTTTGATTCCAAAGCCTAAATGTATTGAGAGCTTGATGATGAAGTGTTATGTTTGTTTGTAATTTGTTTTTGGAGAGAGTAGTATGTATCCGTTATCTACGAATTCCATGGTGCATTGGAAAGAAATAATGTGTTAAAGAGTGACTAAAATGGCACAGTGAAGAGAGAATGGTCAAAAAGTAGCGCACCAAACCGCACTATTAGGTTAATGATTTCTCACGATCAGTGTAGTCTGAGAAGAAGTGATTTTGTCGATCATAATCAGCTTCATTCACTCTCAGTGTTGATCCATAGTAAAATATCAGGGAAGTATTTGTTGCAACATTTTATCGCGGAAAAAGCACTGGAATATGCTCTCGAGCTTGATTGTATTTTATTCTGATAACAGGGTTTTTCGTTTATGGTTTGCTTACATCGAAAATCTCTACACTGCTTGAAACGATAGCAAATTTGAGGGCGTAAGAAAAGCGGAGGATAACCAATTTTACAAATTTTCTCAGTCAGATTCGGACTGGTACATTTGATATCTGATGATAGGCAACTATTGAACCTCACACGAAAGGATGAGCTTTGAAGAGAAGTGGATTTTGGCTATCTGAAGTCACTCCAGACTGATTTTGTGTTTGTAGTGTTGCTAGATTTTGAAATGTATCTGAAATGGTATGTATATATCCCGCCTGTTTGGAAGAGGTTAACAGTACTTAGTCAAAGTAGACTCATATAAATCGAGTGGGCTGTAAGTATGCAAAGTGTCATCATCTAAGTGAGTGATGTCATAATATCATTACCCCCAGTATTCGTTTAAAAATCGACAAGAGTATATCCAGAATTCGGAGGAATTTCAGTGAATTTGGTCGATACCCAGCGGGTAACGAGATGGATATCGACGAATGGCCTCTGAAGAAGTTGGTGTTCAAAACCAGAGCCTAATGGAAACACTTCGTGACATCAGAGACAGCAAGAACTAGGAGAATCCAGAAGAGAATGTAATTCGGTACTGTACGCCTAAGTTGATGAGCATACGAAACCCTCGTCGAGGTATCACTTGTTGGAGTTAAAACCCTAAAAGGCTTTCGTCCACGTACCAATCTTTTCCCGCACCCTCAAGATGGAATCTAGTTTTGATTTGTGGTCGCGAGATAGTCCTACCAAATTCCTCACATCTCGAAAGATACACTTTGGTTATCCTCGTGGGTATCGAGACGTTCAGTTCTGGATACCCAGCGTAATGATATTATGACAGCTATGGTAGATTGTACTTGAGGGAAATATTTCGCTTTTTATCTTTAAATCGCTCGGGTCCTCCTGATCATCCTTCATGAACTCTCGAAAAATTCCTTGACTACCACTAGAAAGCCCTAGTTCACAGGCATATTTGGCACCAAAAGTAAAAGGCCAGGAAGAAGTTCAGTCTTGTTGTCAGGTATATAGAGGTTACTTCAAAGTTCGTTTATGAAGATCAGTTATTAATTATTACGTCGCTAGACATCGAACACAATGTTTTGTTTCGCACACTAATAAGCTTGACTATAGCCGGTATCCTGTGATTATATATTTTTTCTGAAAATCGATACCCTTTGTTTCAAAAAACTAACATCAGATTCGAGTTCCTCGATTCCAAAAGCCCTTTGGTCAAGTTTCTTTGATAACAGTAATTTTTACGAATAGTTTACTAGTGAGTTAGTATTAGTTACTAATTAGTAAAAACTGACATCAGGTTCAAAGTTTCCGCATCGAAATACCTCTGAAAATGTCTTTTCCAAAAAATCGGTTAGGGATGTTTTTTGACCCTGTGGACATACAAGCAAACAATTTATGTTTCTAAGGCTCTTCTTTGCGAGAAAGAGAATATTAATCGCACCAGATCCTTGGCTATCGTCAACAAACATGCTACTTGACCTTGCCGATCAATTTTGACAAAACGTGTTAGATACTCTTTCATCGACAAGTTTCTCCTCGAATTCCACTAGTAGAATGCCAAGGGCTAGTGATCGAACACGTCAAGAAGTTCAAATACCTCGGTACGATTCTGGATGCGAAGTCATCGTTTAACGAGTATACCGGTTATGGCAAGGCAAATCTCAACACCTTCAAACGTTTAGCATACAGTCGGATGCTAAATGAAAAATCAAAATATCGACTCTTTAACGCCATCATCAGATCACATCTGTAATCACTACTTAACTTCTTCCCAATTCTTACATCATCCAAACAAAAAATGCTCGAAGGTTTTAATCGTAAAATCTACAGATCTATTTATCTCTGGTTTGACGCTAGAAATGTAGAAATTGAAAATCTTCCAAAGTACCAATCAATATCAAATTTAGCGAACAAGCATTGAGATAACTCAACTCGGACCACCATGCACACAAATCTTTGCGTATCGAAGATTTTCTTCAACATAAATTAGCAATTATGTATTTAAGGGAACTCCTGTGCAATCCAAGTTTAATTAACGAAAGGTGAAAAGTCTTTTACCAAGGAAGACTAGGTAGAGAGATCCGCAAACTAGCGAATGAAGACCGACTATCTTTATTCAACCATATCCTCAGTTTCAACTCTTGAAAATCGATTTCTGTGAGCATCAACTGGTCTTATCGGGACGGTCATGTTCCTTTCTCTTTTTTTCTCTCGTCTTTTTCTTTCTTTTGCTACTAATCGTGTCTCGTTCGTTCTAGTCCTTTGCAGCAGTGAATCAGTAAAACTGTTTCCTATTGTTACTTGCTCTATCTATCTCGCATTATTTTTTCTTTAGGCTACAGGAGCGATGTTCGCTCATAGCCATTGCTGACAGAAGTTTTCCTTCTACACTTAGAATAAATGCATTATATTTAAAAAATATGTCATATGTTCATGTCACTTTCGATTGTTGCACAGAATTCTTCAAATGCACATGGTAGAGTGTACCACACGTGTAGAATGCAATCACGATCATCAAACTAAAATAACAAAACAATTACCGCGATTCATGTATTTATAGCTCGTTTGTTCGTTTCGCCCTAGCGATCCGACATAGAAATTCATCAAATATGTGCTAGTATTCACAAAAGACTTGAGATTTGTCCTTTGTAGATATTCCAATTTCAATCATTTTGCAGTACACATTGTACTAATTACTTGTCTTGGATGAAAGCGACTACCATGTGAAATATGTTTACTGAATTGGTTGACGGAGGACTTGTAATAAACAATGAAAGCAAACTGAACATCCACTTGACGATCATCAGTGAATACTGCTGATTTATTCATGTAAAGCAAATCATCCATAGTAATGAACAAAATCAACTTCATTTTTCGAAGCACAGGCATCACATTTGAACTTGTGAGGTATTCAACAGTTGGCCATTCAATTATATTCGGAGTGAACACTGTCTGAACTAAATTGGATAAGTGCAGATGAATCATTGTCAGCTCCTCGATCTAGACTTCGCATTACCACATGCAGCTGCTCCAGTGTAGTTGATAGTTTTTTCTAATGACATCACTTTGCACAATTGTTGAATGAATTGCAAAGGAAGCTGAAGATAACTTAGAGTACATTCGATTGGTCGGACTTGCCGTAGTAGAAGACTCACTCCGAAATCCTGACCTAAATTGAGTGAGCAAAGTGTATTCAGTCGCGGCAGAATATCTTCAACGAATGTTTCGAGACGCTACAAAACCCAACTAAAATTAGAAAGAAAAACAATAGTATGAACTTTTTTCATGCATGTCACCCTCTCTGTATGTACTTACGAGAGCAAACAAGTTGTTTGTTTCGATTTTGAGATGCACAAGTGAATCTGAATGACGAAGAATAAACTCATAAGCATCTTTCCGCTGGCGCACACTACACAATCGTAATGCTGTCAAATGTGGTAAATGCGTAAAACGGGAAAGTTGAAGAGATGGTGCTGCGATGCTGATGGCAAGCGGAGACGACGATTCAAATTGATGAATGACCAAAGAAAATCAGCTGAAGAAAAATAGTGAAATCGTTCGAAGTGAGTGAATGATGACATTGAATAGGAATGAAGGGTATAGTGTGATTGAACGATGTCACTCGTATATGATAAATAATAAAACGATCGATGAGAAGAGTAAAGTAAATCGTCTGCCGCAGAAGATATGAATAAAAATTGAAGGTGAACGCGGTGTTGAATAGCTGCGCATGTGTTCTTTGGTTGGTATTATGAAATAAAAGAGCTCTTTGATTTCAAAATCAGATCCGAACAAATTTTCAGAAACTCAATTTTAGATTTGTTCTATTCAACGTTACAACATTTTCGTGATGTCGGATGAGAAACAATTTTTTTCGTGTTTCGATCAAGTTTTGACCAACTAGAGATCTGCAGACAGAATAGCATCGACTATACAGCTATATCAAACAGTAGTTGCAAGTGTATCACAGTTAGAGATAAGAAGATGTTGCCTGTTGAATCGATTCATGGGACGAATTACAAATAATCTAGATCTTATTGTCTATTATTACCTTACATTGCGTGACAGAACGGAAAATGTTGGTAGATACAAAAATTGAGAAGATCGGCTAAATATTCTTCTTGTAAAATATTTATTATCGCGTGTGAGAGAGTACATTAACATGTATGGTTTCGATTTGATGGTTAGTTTTCTATCATTTTTCTTTTTTTTTTGTTTCTTCATAGAGCATAACAAAACATTCTAGCCCGGCGTGTTCACAACAATAAGAATAACATAAAAACTAAAACAATGATATATATTCGAGCATTTTTTGTTAGAATTATATTGTGATTGGGCTGTAAAGTGATGTTTTTAACGATTGGATTTAGCAACACGTTCAAGTTCATCTTTACGTTTGATGGCAAATGATGTTGATGAACCCTAAAAGAGAAATTCAGAGAAAAGTAAGTATTCTATTCTCATAAGATGATTTTAATTTTGTTGGAGCAGCCTATCAAACAATAATTCTCAAAATTATCATTTGCGAATTAACAAAACTTCGACAATTTTCTTTTGCACACGCCGACGTTCAAAACCACATGAATGGAAAGTGGTAAGAATTCTAATGGAGTGCATCTGTATTCCGAAGAATATGTAGTACTTACTTTAGCGGCATTGATCAATTCATCAGCGAGACATTCAGCAATTGTTTTAACTGATTTAAATGCTGAATCACGTGCACCTGAAGAAAGAAAACTAAAGTGTTAGTTTTCCCATAAAGTCATTCTATTTGTTGAACATGCCTGTGCAAATTAAATATAATGCTTGGTTGACCCGTCGTAATGGTGAAACATCGACAGCTTGTCGTCGTACTGTACCGGCACGACCAATACGGGTGGAATCTTCACGTGGTCCACTGTTGATAATAGCGTTGACAAGGACTTGAAGTGGATTCTAGAGAAAGAAATTTATATGAAATTCTTGCTTTTTCATGGAAGATTTTCTTACTTCGCCGGTAAGCAAATGAATGATTTCAAATGTGTGACGAACAATACGAACAGCCATTAATTTCTTGCCATTGTTACGTCCGTGAAACATCAATGAACATACAAGACGTTCAACGATTGGACATGATGCTTTTCGGAAACGTTTCACTTGATAACGACCAGCTGAGTGTGGAAGAAATTTTGGTTGTTTTGCTCCAAGAATATAATCCTGACGAATAGGTCAATAGTTTCATTTCGATCGGAACGAAGTGGAATATCTTACTTCGAGTGACATATCCGAAATTTGTACTTCTGCACCGGGCCATTTACCGAAAAGTCGAATATCGGTCGCTGCTGATTCCAAAGCCAGATTATCGGTTAACGTTAAATCAGTCATGTTGGTGGATTGGATTTCCTCTTTTCACACACGGAAAGGAGATCGAAGAAACGAATCTAGAAAAGTAACCAAATGCATTCATTTCTAAATGATTTCTTTTGATATCAGGCAACGTCCATCGTTGTTGTTGACTCCATTTAAATGTAAAATATAGACTCTGCAGCCATATTCACTTGTACGTTTAAAAGTCCTCATTTACGTTTTTCGACCTTATTCGATTGGAGGAAAACAGTAACTTCATTGGTTGGTGCATTTCAACCATCCGGAGAATACTTCGTTTACTTACATTTGGTTCTTTGGATGAAGGATGTCAGAAGATGACGATGTGACGGAGACGAGAATAGGAAAAAAGGAAATTACATACGGACGAGCTTATTATATTATACAGGATTCTCGATAAAAAAAAAGAAATCGATTTCTTTTGACTTTGTAGAGAAGGTCTTATTTATATATCAAAAAGAAAACTTTTTGGCAATTTTTTCTCAAACAAATTAATAAATCATGGTTCAATGGATCATATTTGATTATATTTGACGTTTAATTTTTAAAGTGACATGTAAATAAAAACAGCACTTAAGAATTTCCGTTTTTGTTAATTCTTTTTCTACCCTCTGTAGTGACATTTGAGCTGGGAACTTAATCGAATTAATAATGTCACTCTTCACATCATCATCATCAGCATCAATTAATTTCTCTTGGGAACAAGATTGAAGGAAGAGAAAGCTTTTATAAGCACTACTAACATGAAGCGACGCAATATTCGACAATTGCTTTTGCGTGACATGCACGATAGTACTATGGTTTGAATAGAGGTCGAAGCAATAAAAAAAAAGAGAGAAGAATAAGTAATTCTCGATGCTTGATGTAATCTTTGTATATAGTAAGTTGATCGAACGAGTAATACATGAAGACAGAGAAGAACGAAGGATACGAACGAACTGATTCGATCATCAACAAAATTTTTCTTTTGTACATATCGAAAAGCATCGAGAGAATAGAGAGAAGGTCGCATAGAGCAAAAAAATCTTTTTATTGCTGTTTGCCAGACACATAGTTTGAATGTCTACTCAGCGGTCGCATCAGATTTCACGGGGTAAAAAAAAGCTCTTTTTCATCAAAGTTCTTCTGTGTCTTCATTTTCCTATCGATTTGCGTTAGATTACATTGTTTTAATTCCACTACAAAAAACGTCAACAATTAATGTCGCCTCAATCGAAAGACAGACGAATGTTGACCCAACAGATAAAAACATTCTTCATATTGGTAGTGGAAATAATATCGACTTCATCATATACAAAAATGCAGATTCAGGTAAGGGAATTTATGTAAAACACTTTCACGAAATTGACATTAAATTTCAGCGCAAGACGAGAATGAACCAGTTGGGTATACAACTCAGTTTAAGGTGTTTATGACAGATAAACAAACAAAAGGTGTGCATCAAGAGAATCGCGTATTACATTTTTGGTTTTACGATCAAAACGATGAGGAGTATTCGGATGATGTCAACGAGTTCATGCGTGGATTATTCAAATCAAGTGAATTTCCTCGTGGTGAGAGAGATCGATAGTTGCATGTTTTCTATTCAATAGAAACTTTTTCATCTAGATTATTTTTTGTTTATCAAACGTTTAATGGAGCTGTTGAGAAGATTCGCAATGATACGTAAGATACAATTGGAAATTCATACGTTAACTGATCAACAACTAGATAATGATCATCCGTGTATGTATGACTTTCACTGTAATTAAACTTTTGAACAAAAAACGAATTTCATATCATCGATCATCTTTTCCCTTTCGCACACGACATCAATGCATGATGGATATCTACATTGTTCGTTCATTGTTTAGTTTATGAAAATAATCTCCAACGATATGGCGACGAGGTGAAAGATAGACTACTGGATTTACTTGAACAAGCATTTCCTAATCCAATGTTTGTGAATGATTTGGCGAAGTAAGTTTGCTAGTTGTTCACCCGTATTTCACAGTTGTCTTCTTTTCTTTTTTTCTTCAAAGATATGTTGAATGTGACGGTGAAACCGTTTTTCAGTATCTTGTCGAATTAGAAGACAAAAATCTCGTTAAACATCTTGATCATGATGGTCAACAATGGACACGTGTTGTTGTCTCGGCTGAAGAAGAAGATACTCATCGTGTGTGATGCATTGATAATTAAGATTTACAGAATCTTTCTTTTTTTTGTAGAAGTTATTCCCTACAAGTCAATTGCAGAACTCTCAAACGCATTTCGTCCAACGATTGCTATTATAACAGTAAATTATTTTGAGAAACTAGCTGTTGATGCCATGATTGAAAATAAAATCACCTTTGTTCGACAAAAAGCAGGTAAAGTAATTCGATCGATCAGCTCGATTTCTTTACCTTTTTGTCTGTTAAGGGGAATCAAATGTTTACACAATCGGCACTATCGGATCTCACCATGTTGTTTCAACAAAATTACCATTGATCGGTCGTAGTCGAACAGCTCAAATTTCAACAGGAAGTACAACGACTCGATTATTAGGCACTTTCCAGCATGTTCAACACGTTTTTATTATTGGCTGTGCTGGTGGTGTACCACATTATACAGATGCAAATAAACATATCCGACGTGGAGATATTATTGTTGGATATCCAAATGAAGAAGATTATGTTTATGGTAAATATACGCGATGTCGAGAACGATGAATCTATTGAGAGATAAGAACAGTTTTAGCACCGAGAGATATGTATATATATATACAAAGTAATTATTCGAGTGATGTTAATGCATTGTCGATTGGTGTGAAGGTGTATGTCAACATTGAATGTAAAGATGACATTTCCGATGAGTAATACATATGTCTTCTTGCTCTCATCGAGATAAAAGTTCATGATTCTCCGTTTCATAGCGATTGTTCGATTTCTTTCTCCATATCTAAGATAAATACAAAGTGTTCCCCTGAGGTTATCTTTTCTTTCTCTAGTTAATCCTATTTATGAACATAATAGAGACAAATATCGCCTTTCTGTTCTTCTTTTTCTTCTCTTAATAGGATCTGATGATTGATTGCGAAATGACGAAGAAGCATGTAATTATATCACTTACGGGAAGAAATGCTAGAATTCTCGGATGACCGTATCTTCCTGTTAGTTTCAAAAGTCAAATTTGAATATGAATTTTTTGCTTCATCAATTATAGAAGAGTCGTTCTTTCATCTTTCTCTTTCTCCTCAAATGGTCAACTAAGTTTACGAAGAAAAGAATTTCAACAAAGAACAGATTGGTTATGTATTTCAAATGACGTAATCTAGATTAAGCATCATGCGAATTTCATGATTATTATAGAAGAACATATGTAGATTATGATCTTATTTCTTGCCTCGAAATCAATTCTAGGTATTTATGAAGCCGAACAATCATCGGAAGGTTACGAGTTTGTTTCGACATGTTACAAACCTAAAAATCTTCAATTATACCAATTAATGGAGCCAATTAAAGAAAATTATCAACAAACAAACGCAACGCGACCTTCTACACATAAATATCCATGGGAAAAGTTTCTCGAAGATGGTATGCAGTATTTACTATCACATAATATCGATTGTTTACCACCATCAACTGATCATCTTTATATAAAAATGGAAAATGGCGAAATTGTCGAAGTCGAACATCCAAACAAGGACACGAGAGATTATACTCGACCTAAAGTTCGCTTTGGAATGATCGCTGGTGGAAAAAACATTTTAACAAATGATTATTTCAAAACAACATTGAGTGAAAAATGCAACGTGCTCTGTTTTGATTCTGAAATCGATCAAGTATTAGCAGCTATTCAAGGCAATCAAATCGAATCATTCATGATTATACGTGGCGTAGCCGATTATCATGATGGAACATTGAATAAAGAATGGCAACCTTATTCATCGTTATGTGCTGCATCATTCATGAAAACAATTATTTACAAAATTCCACATTCTGGTGAAACGGAGAATAATAATGCACTTTAGAGAATCATTTACATTCCATTTTATATGTATGCGCGTGTTTTTCTACATATACGCTTGTTTTCTTCTACGTGTATTTCGAATATGAATATTCAGTTACGATTATATACATATATTTCTAGATGATATGGGCAGAAATAGATATAATCATAGGCGAAATTCCTCGGTGATGTTAGATGCTGGTTATGTGTCAATACAAGCGATAGATTTCTATGGATCAACGCAGATATTTGGTTTACATGGTCGAAAATTGTTTTGTGTTATCGTCTTGGTATTTCTTCTTTTCATAATCAGTTTTATCAATTTAACAGTAGGTTTATTTGATTGTCATGTGTATAAATTACGAATATCCTTCGTAGTGCTTGGTATTTATCATGTACAAACTCGATTGGACGCCGCTACACAAAAATGGCTCGAAAGTCTTTCGATTCGATAAATTCGATCATCAGATTGAATTATATAAATCAACAACATTCAGAGATATTATTTATACGACTCAAATCAAAGATGATTCATCACTTGACGTTCTTTCCAGAACACCGGTAGGCTCATCATTACAAAATGCAAAATAAGATGTTTCCTTTCAACATAGATCGATATATATGGTGATCATAATTCACTGCTGTTGAATGAAAATCAAATCTCAATGAACGCCGAATATTTTTCTCTAAATCACAAATATCTAGTTGACTTTACTAATCTCAATTTATATAAGTTTGATCGAAAGAGAAAAACCAATGTTCATCTTAGTCAAGTTGAATCCCATTATGTATGTTATGATGTTCGTTTGAGAGAAAACGGTGCAAATAATCACATTTAGATTCATGATAAACAATTGAATTTGACTGGAGACAAACTTTTGACAATTACAAAAGCAAATCGAGTGTCGTTAAATGCGAGAAATATAAATGTCGACTTGAATAAACATCATCATCGGTCAGTCGTTCGTCTTGGTAGTTATTGGAAAAGAAGAAAACCGACGGATTATCGACAAGTATGTTTTTCTTTTATCATAACATTTATTTATTCCGGAGTGATCGATTTTCTTGTAGAAGATTGCCCACGGAAATTTACAATTTCAAACGAATTCAATCTTTCTCGATTTGCCACGATCATCGCCTGGAGAGAGTACTTCTTACAGTGAAATAAATGTCTATCGAATGTGTATTTGTAATACGACATTGTTACTCTTACAGAGCTTTGCTCATCAACCATGTCCTCTTTGTTAATAAGTTTATGCGTGTTTTCGTCGTCTTCAGGTGGTATTTCTGTTGGTGCTTTCCTTATATGTTTCTACATTGTGTATACATTGATTAGGCGAGTTATTTCAAATTGAGACAAATCTGTCGTATAGTATTTTTTATTGATCTTTTCTCTCTGCCAAAAAATTGTTTTTGTTGCGTTGATCCGTGCAATATTACATGCATAGAATAAAAACATTTTCTCATGACAAAACGCGGTAATGAATGAAGATGCTCGAAGTCATGACGATGATGATCGTGTCACACTTTCCTATTCCTATTAAAACGGAATAACCACATTTGAGAGTGAAACATGTCGCTTATTACCAAACCACTGGTGTGCACTGATCAATCAACAATTGACAAAAACTGTTTTGTCCTTGCTAACTCTATGAACTGTCTTTTCGATGATGATAATAATATTATCATTAATTCTTCCAACTGAATTATTCTGTCCTAAGAATTACTTACATAAACATATGTCTTCGTCTCACACTCTCGTAGATAGGACTAAACCTTATATTCTGCGATTTACAAAAACAACATTACAAAAAGAAATCGCTGCTCCCATCAATAAATCATTCGTGTAATATTCAGCGGTAGGTATGAATAATTGAATGCATCTTTCTCACACTCAGTAGAACTAGCAAGAAATACAACATGAAGAAAGTATCGTTTCTTTCGTTAGTTTAAGTAAACGTTTACGAGGATACGAACAATGATGCGATGCTGAAGTATAAAAATTGTCGATAATTCTTTTTCGTGATTTATGTACCTATTTTGGTATGTTAAAAATAGGAGCTAATTTCTATTCAATTCACGTTGATTCTACTGCTTTCAATCTGATTGGACAACGTATTTTCTATTCTGACAGTTATGATTGTGTCAATAATAATATAATATTTTTCCTGTTCTAGGTTGCTAAGCCCGGACTTATTCATATTTTAGAATTATCTATTTTTTAGACAATCTTATATCATACATTTGAGCTATGTCATCTTCGGAAGTTACTGGCAAAGAGCGAGCGTTCGCCGCTGCTGCTGCGGGTATGTTAAAGTTGAACAAAACCTAGAGAATCACAGTAAATATATGTTTTTATTTTGCTATTGTAGCATCGGCAACGCCTCCATCGACTCCACGTCGTCAGAGTACAAATGCTGACGAAGTCGATACGAAATTAACCTTGCCCAAAGCAGCATATTATGTCATATTTGTCGAAGGCTGTGAACGTTTCTGTTTTTACGGTCTTAAAACGATCTTACTCCTCTATTTTATGCATTACTTACTGTTAAGCAAAGACACCGCAACATCTTACTATCACTTATTTTCTTTTGCATGTTACTTCACCCCGACTATTGGGGCTATTATATCCGATGGTTATATTGGTCGTTATTCAACGATTTTATATTTATCAGTTGTTTATTTAATCGGATCAATTATTTTAACATTGACGGCAATACCATCTGTAGGTCATCAGCACTTGTAAGCAGTGAATAATACGTGTACGAAGTAGAAATTTTTCTTTGTGTTTCTAGAGTAGGGCCATTAATTGGTTTGTCCCTTATTGCATTAGGAACAGGTGGAATAAAACCGTGCGTAAGTGCCTTCGGAGCTGATCAAATCTCAATGACTAATGTGAGACGACGAAAATCATTAGAATTGACTTCCTATTCATTTTTGTTTTCTTTCACAGCCAAAACAGTTAAACCGGTATTTTGCTTTCTTCTATTTTGCAATCAATACCGGCTCGTTAGTATCAACCTTACTCACGCCTCTACTTCGAAGTACACCGAAAGAAATTAGTGTTTATCATCTATGATATTTCTCTCTCTGACTAGGTAAATTTAGGTGCTTTGGCTATGATTGTTATTCATTAGCATTCGGTATTCCGGCATTATTGATGCTAATTTCAATAAGTAATTTCGTGGTGACTGTTTCTCTGTCCATATCATTGCTTTTTAGTCATATTTATTCTGGGCACGCCATTATATAAACGTGTGCCGCCAAAAGAAAACATCATCGTCAAATTCATCGCCATTAACTTAGTAAGAAGAGGACTATCGAATTCTTGATAGTTTCATTCAATATTTATATGCGTTTATAGCACGCAATACGTAATGCAGCATTTGGCCCATCAGCAGGACCAAAAGAACATTGGCTTTATCATGCAAATGACAGATATAGTGTTCGTAGAAAATGACTTTGTGATCGTTCAAGTACCTTGAATAGCCAACGGATCCTATTTTACTTTCAGGCCGATGATATCGAAGATGTTCGTTGCGTTCTTCGAGTATTCCTTTTGTTCACGCCAATTCCAATCTTCTACGCTTTATTTGATCAATCTGGTTCACGTTGGACTTATCAAGCAACATTGATGAATGGAAGTCTCGTGCGTATATTCATAATTAGAACAAAAAGAGAACGAAACATTTTAAAAAATGACTCGAAAACCTTTAGGGACCTTTCGGCACAATTCAACCAGATCAAATGCAAGCAATGAATAGTTTCTTCGTACTTCTATTCATTCCAATGTTTGAAGAAATAATTTATCCGGCATTCGCTCGGTGCAACTTATTGATAAAGTAAAGCTTATCTAACAAAGAGCCATATTCAATGAGGATGAACATTTTTTCACAGGCCACTACAACGAATGTTTGTTGGAATGCTCGTTATGGTTTTTGCTTTTATTGTCGCAGCAATTCTTCAAAGTTCAATTCAAGTAAGCGAAAACTTCTGCGACTATTCGAACTAACATATGTCCGTTCGTGTCAGTCAAAATCAAGTGCAATGCCAGTTCGCCATCAAACAAGTCTTTTCAACGGCTATAATTGCACAATTAATATTAATAATATGCAATCTATCGAGCCCGGAAAAGTAAAAGTTCTTTTCCAATAATTGATATAGTACTGGAAACTGTCTTTCAGACGTCTTATATTCCGTGTACAAAATTACTTGTTGAAGGAGTCACTTTTACCTCCACATGTCATTCAGCGGATATTTCTTTTAAATTAAACCCAGACGAACTTTGTCCATCAGTTCTAGTCCTGTCTGAGATCGATGACGAAGAACGCGGCAAAGTTCTAGGAGTGACGGCAGTAAGTGAAATATAGCGAATAGTTTATTATCTGACGAAGGATTTCTTTTGTAGTTAGCAAATTCAATAGCCAGCCAACGTGGTGTTAATGGATCTGCTCTTTTACGGTGAGAACTGTCAACTGATATCGCTTCAAACACTGAATCTTGTCGTTTGCTTAGTGTGGTTACATTGGATGGGAAACAATCGGATGTTGAAACCGTTCCGAATAAATATAGTTTTAAAATGAGCAAAAAGCTATTACCGACAAACTATCAATCAGTTCTGCCAACAAAGTTTGTATTTTATTTTCGTTTCTATCTGGTCTTTCATATGGCGTATTCACTTTCAATAGTTACGAAATTAAAAACTTAGCTACTCAACAAATAAGTGCTGAAAATTTTGATGCACATCCAACAGCTGTTTATACAGTACTTCTTCATAATTCAAACAACGATCAAGTATGTAATCCTGAGTTAGAACACCACCATTCATGCACGTGTATACACTACTCATTGTACCATTTATTAATTATTGTTCAATAGCATTGATATTTAGGTATTGTAGTGTTATGTAAAGAAAACGATACCACATTTTTCATGAGTATTTTTAATATCGGAGCCTGATTATTGAGGAAACCATTGCATCAGCATGCTCGCACTTGAACTTTTAGTATGTACTCTATAATTGTAAATTTATATGGCATGCCACCTGTAAGAATGAAGCCCTGTTGTATAGACCAAAGTATGCATTCTCTTCATCATTCAGAGTGAATTAACCGAAAGCATTCCACTAAAATAGTTGCACTTTACTGAAGAATTTTCAGTATTGTTAATAGACAGTTGATATACGTGGGAAAAAGGTGTAATTTCCCTCGAAAATTAGAGATTTTCTAGCCATGGTATTTTATGCGTTCTAAAGCAATTTTCAGATGTATATCGTGCATGAATACAACGCATTTCCGTCGACTTTAAGTATCAAAATGTTAAACAAAATGTCATACATTATTTAGCAGCATGTAATCTTTGAAAAGATTAATTATGCAACTACTTTCTTATTAAGTTTTCCGATAAACACGTCGCTTTACAGCTTAACTCAGATTGTTTATTGATGTTCTAAGCCTTTTGGTATCGGATATCGTTTCTGCGACGGACATTACATGTCCTACTAAATAGAAGAATCAGTTAGAAAAAGTGGTGAATTTATCGTCTTTGATCTTCGATTCGTCGAGAGAATGGTTATATTCAGAAAAGAAAACATTGTCGGATAATTGATTTGAAGAACTTTGTGCCGTTGTAGGTAAATTTTGAATGTGAATTATTAAAGAGCATAAAGTAACCGATGTGAATATTTTGAGATTGTGCTGCCAGCAACAACGAGGCGTTTATTAATTTGTGGCGATATTTAATTGACGACCTACGCCATGTATATTAATACCCGTGTGAATTCGCCTCTAGTTTTCTAGTTTTAAATAAACGAACTTTATGAATCTGTCAAGAATAATTGTTTGTTGCCTTTTAGCTACATGCTACAGTATTCGAAGACGTTCCGCCATTTACTATACATATTCTTTGGCAAACTATTCAATATGTGCTGATGACGAGCGCAGAAATCCTTGTCAGTATCACAGGTCTTGTGTTCGCTTATTCACAAGCACCGAGACGTTACAAAACGGTGATTATGTCGGCTTGGTTATTGACGACGGCAGTTGGCGACTTAATCGTTGTTTTCGTTGCTGAAGTTCACTTTGTTCAGGATCAAGTAGGATTGAAACCTTGAAGAAAAACTTGATATGGAATATTTTATACTCTAGGTCGTCGAATTCGTCTTCTTCGCAATCTTAATGGCATTTGGAGCGTTTGTTTTCGGTGCTTTAGCTATTCGTTATACATATTATCGAGCCCGACACGATAATTCTGAAGATCAACAATTAATTCTCGACAAAACTGCTTTTGAACCAGAGCAAACCATCGAATAAACTCTCTTCTCCCATATTTATTGAATCTCATATTCCATTGTGAACACTGTTGTCTCGTACTCATGTATGCATAAAGTAGATATTTGCTAATCTGACAAAAGCGAACAGCATTCGACTTGATCTGTACCGAGATGAGAAAATATTCTGTGTGTTCTTATATATCTATTTTATTATTTGTTGTGAAAATCATTTTCGACTAATATTCTAATCAAAATAAATGTGCAACCGAATAAAAAGATACCGTTTATTGTCTTATTTGTTTTTATTTTACTTCTTCTTCTGCGCTCTTACACATGTCATAGGAAGGAAGGAAAGTATAACAGTGAATATAGATTTTGATCTCTTTCCGTTTTATTCGTGGGATGTTGATGGAACAGAACGGCGACCAACGCGAGGCAACATAATAATACGTTTAGCCAAGTGCACATCATCGGAGTGATAAGCTTGTTTTGGGCTTAATAAATGCTGTTGTTTATAATCAAGAAATTTGTCTGATGTCGGATAATATCGGTCGGCCATATCTGCATAATTATTGAGGAGTAAATTTTCAATTTGTGCTTGTTCGTCATCATCAATGTTGGACGCAAACAATGGTTGCGTGCGAATAAATGTGCATAAAAATATCACACAGATTAGTACTATAAATACAAAAGTGCACAGTTAACGGGCAGATTATACGACTAGTACATCCTTTCGAGCGCACAACTAGGGGAGGATATCTGTATCAGAACCTGGCAAGGCTTCTAAGCTCGTCTCTACTTCAGTCGTTTCAGATATTTTGCACTATATTTAATCAAACCTGTTTAAGACTAATTTGATTTATAAGTTGGAAATGGTAGGTAGTATAACTTACATTTCATAAAGTGAGATGTTAGTGAACTCATGGTTACTTGTTAAAATAAGTAGTTCGAACACAAAAAAGAAGCAGAAGAAGAACAATCTGAAAGAGATCAAATGTACGGTCTTGAATTAAGACGTTAATTGTGAAATCGACAAAGGATTGCAAATACATTAGTAAAACGTCAAGAGGCAAGAATATATTAGTCTATTACATAGATTTTAAATAAAAATGAAGATCTATGAGCTTTTTCTTAGCTTACTGTCTATTCAAATTTCCCTCTCTCCCTCTCCACTATTCTCTCTTTTTCTGACGAACTAGAGAACGAGAGAAAAGTTACCAAATACTTGGAAGAAGACCTTTCTTCTTTGTTTTACTTTCTCTCTCTCTCTCTCTCTCTCAAATCTAATAGACACGTACTAATGAAAAATGTTCATAATCCCTAAGGATAATTTCTTTATGTAAACATAAAATGAAATAGCATCAATGCCTTAATCTTTTGGACAACATTTCCATGTGAAACTTGTAAGTTAGGATCTTGTCTGAGCTCTCTTCTGAGATTCCTATCAACTCGGAATCAATGTGAATCTCATGAGAAACCATAGTGCAACATACTACGATGATTTGTCTGCAGTGGTGCTCGCCGATATGAATTAAATACCAATACAAATAAATGCTTGATAATTTTTCATAATCGCTTTACTTTCTACAGTTATTCAAATGTGAAATCCACCAACGTAATCTGTCTTTCCTTCTAGAGCGTATACGTCATCATTACGTCTTGAATTTTGTCTTTTATATATTATGAAGGTGATGTCGCTATTAAAAATGAGGATACGTGAAAGGTTGATTCTTTTTATGGAATGAGAATTGACGTAGATCTCGTAATTCAGCCTAAAAACTTAATCAACGGCTGGTATAGCTGGCACGGAACGATGGTCTTGTAATATTGAATGCCTACGCACAAGAACGAGTGATCGACTACGGCCTCCCAGATTGTGTATATTTAGTTGACGATCAAAGATGTTTTTTCTTAGAAACATCTTGTCTTAACTTCATTATCACGTAACACCACTTGACAGAACAAAATAATTCCATTATTGTACACTGGTGAATATAACGAGAGATGTTGTCTGTATTTTAAAGCACTTCTGTAAGTGTAAGCAGAATAACAGAATGCTTACTGAACGACCAGGAGTATACGAATTATATACCAAGACTCTTGTTTTATTAAGTTTCATCAATCTAATCCTCCTACGATTTTAATGCTAATTTATGTAAAGGTCTTTCGAAAAGAATAACAATAGAAGTTCGCTGACGCGTACATTGTATGATTTACATTTAGAGAACACGATAAACAAGAACTTGTTGCAAACATTCAAAGAAGAGAATTCGACAATTTGTTTTTCTTCGAGCAACTGATCAAAGTTATCTCTTTCATATTCTGATCTCTTTCGCATGACTAAACAGGAATCATTCATTCTTTCACATGTAAACATCTTTGCTAAGTATAAGTATGCATGCCTTTGACCTCATTTGATTTCAGGCCGTACTTTGCACTTGTTCCTTCTTACTCTTATCAGGTTGACTGTACTTTTATCGTCATTCACCTTTTATGCGTGTTTAAACATTCAAAACACGTTGGAGTACGTTACTTATATGGGAAAACGATTGATTTTTACAGACATGATCAATAATAGAGAACCTAACGTGTGTGTGTTCTATTCAATCGCATGGAATTACATGGTCGAAAACTTCCTCACACTCCTAATGAACTTTGAGATTGATGAATTGAACTGAATTGAATGAAAATATTTGAATTTCCACAAGTGTAGATATTATTTACTGCAATAATCACTGTTTGACTTGACGCCAACAGCGTCAAGCTTATGCAGTAACCAACATTCTGCGAGCAAAATCTACAGCGCCAACATCTGTACTGGATTTATAAAAATAGAGACGATATAAATATCGGTCACTTTTATCTTTTGAGATTAACTCCAAGTTAATAGGTATATTCGTGTACCTTTTATCAGGCACGCATTGGAGTGGATGTGACACGCAATTTTAATTACGAACGAAGTCTGACAGATCTGCGAAAGAAATCTTCATATTGCCAACACTAATCGCTATTAGCAATATCAAATAAATAATTCAAAAACAACTGTCAAGTATTTGCGTTATTATCTAAGATTGGATAAGAAAAGTTTTTACTCGTGTTTGTCATATACACAAGTTGATTTTCTGAAAGCTTCGCTGGCATGTGCAAAAGAAAAACATGGGAATTAATGCGTATACTTATTGTGAATATCAATGAGCATGACCAACATGTACGCAAAAAAGTATTCTTCCAACCTTGTGTCTAACGAGACTTTGACATGGTGAGAAAATTTAAACAAAAAGCTTACGACACTCGGTATTCCCAGGCGGTCACCCATCCAAGTACTAACCGAGCCCGACGTTGCTTAACTTCAGTGATCGGACGAGAACTGGTGTATTCAACGTGGTATGGCCGTAAGCGAAAGTATTCCAAGATAAACGCCATCTAATAATGATCATTTGATTACATCTGTTTCTACTCAACGAAAACTTCTTCAAAGTTTTCTTGAACAGCTGTCATCACGTACCACTCATTAATATTTAATTAAGACTCTATACAGAACAAGAATTATCATTGAACTATGCAATAATTATTTGCATCCACGAAGCGATTATATATCAGATGGAAAAATACAATTGTTTATTATTTCTTGTCATAATAATTATATCATATTGCAAACATTTGCTAGGATAATTCGAATGGATATTTGGTCAGAAGCGGGATGATTTGAAGAACATATCAATCATTTTCATGCTAAATTCGTTTGAAACTCCAATAATCAATCATCTGATTTCTCATTCACATTCTACTTTTCAATGATTGATTACACAATCGTTCATTCCCTCGGTGTACTTGTTCCTTTGTATGGTTTTTCTTGCTCACTTGTTCGTCATCTCTCGCTTTCGCAGTTCAGTAATCTAACTGTGCACAGATGGAAATGTCTGTCTGGATGTCGTATTGAACGACAAGACCAGAACAAAAGAGAAAGAAGAGAATGATGAAAGAGTATTGTCCTGCTACGTATATCAGTCCCATAGAAATGATGAAGCTGATGAAAAAGCGGGCAGCAATGAATGTAGCGTAAACAAATGAGTAAAACAGCAGCATAGCGCAGAATTTCGTCTTTCTCACAAATTATCAATGAAAGACACAAAGAAAGAAGAAGAGAGAAAGAAAAAAGACAATGACGATAAACGTTTTACAAGGACGGTCATTCACAAATTCTTTGTGGAGGGGACTTAGAAAACGAAAGAGACAGAAAGAAAGAGAGAGAAAGAAGAAAGGGAGATTTATGTGTATGTGTTTATAATGAGCAACAAAAGAAAAAGAGAAAAGTTTATACACATAACACATACACGAAGAAAAAAGAAAATGTATTTCAAGCTTTCGTGTCTTTCAATTCACTGATTTGCTTGATCAGAAAGGCTTTTTCGTCATTGAACTGTTCATCATCCGTACCTGTTTAAAATTCAATAGACAACAATGAACGAGAGAAAAACGCATTCCACACTTACGATCCGTGTGAAATGAGGTCAAAAAATCAATAAGTTTCTCTCGATTACGAAGAAGTATATCAGAGATAGCTTTTGGTTTTGTTGGATTGGCCACAAATATCTAAATTAGAGAGAAGAACGCGCATTAATTTTTTCTAAGTCATTTGCGGGAAATGAAAGCAAAGCAAAAACCTTAAAAACATGAAATGCTTCGAATTGAATATTTTTGCTTTTTTCTTTCAATAGATTCATTTGTTGCTTGAGATTGTCTGTGTTAGTTATATATTTTGTCATCACCGAAAAATTATAACGATCAAGCAGCAATTCTCCCAATAACTAAAAACAAACAGAAAATTGCAAAAGAACGAAATCGATTGGAATGAAAAGCAAACAACGAACAAACATCAGCGCATCTGATCTGTACTACTTTAAATATGTCGAACACTTCTCGTTTATATATATCGAATGCCGAAAGAGTAAGTGGATTCGTACTGATAGTTGATTTCGAATTCGAGTTAAATGCGTCCGATGGAAACAATCCATAGACAAGTGTAAATTTATCGAGATCGCATGAGAATTTCTTTAAAATACTCAAGTTGGCATTTTCCATGATAACTGTCGACAAGATCTAGTCGAGTGTTGATCGTCGGTTTCGTAAGTGAAAAGTTAGTTGGGATTCAGGAGTAACTTACTTTCAATGATTGACGTCGTGTAACATAGTTTTCTGAATTGAGCAAATCACGATATTTATTGAAGAATTGATCATAATTTCGTTCGAGGAATTCTGCACATAGTGGTTTGTGTTTTGTTAATAAATCCTTAAATAGAAATTATTCAAGTTACAATTAACAGGAAATTATTCCAAAAATAATCCCTCGATTCATCGTATCTTCTCTGCAATGATCTTCTTTTAGCATGTGTAACTTCTAATATTATCACACGGATGTTCTCAACTAGCATTTTATGTTCTTTCGTGAGGAAAATGCAGTTATTTCCGTAGGACTTCAATTACTTTAAAAGTTGCGAATGCATCACTAGCTATGTCGAATGTCGATTTTTGTACATAATCGAAAAATTTGTAGAAATCTGGCGATTTTAATATAATATCAGCCAATTCTTGCACACGTACAGATTCACGTAACATCATCCCACAATTCAATGCAATATCTGCATTTTCATATCTAATTAAATAGATTTAAAAGCGAAATTGCAACACATTCGTTCGAGATCGAGTGTTACCCTTCGATTAGTTTAAATAAAATTCCAGGACGTTGAATAATATGATCGACAGCTGGATATTTCGCTCCAACTTGTCGTCGTAATAGATTATTAAAAATCGCTACGATCTCTTTTCGATCTTCGAATGTCACACGACTTAAATTATTTATCATTATTGTCATTAAATCCTGGGTATAGATTCCACTACACAATTGTGAAACATCACTTATCGCAGGCTCACTACTACCATCTCGTGGACCGAATAGACCATCTTTTAATGCAATTAAAGTCTTGTGAATGTTTTTAATCGCCTGAAATTGACAACGATAGAAAACAAATGTTTTCAAGCAGAATCGATTTACACTTACATCTTCATAGCTTTTCTTCTCTTTATCTTGTTCATTTTCAATCACAGTGAAATAATCTCGCAATTGTTTAGCATGATCGGTCTTTGACCGAGGCGCTAGTAAGGAGCTGAATGGCATTTTCGACATGATCAATCGATTGTGATTGACGTTAAAGACGATGAAGAATTCGTTCCAAATCTGATAATATTGAATACAATCTAGAAAAACAAAGATTCGGTAAATAAATCATATTAATTGTCTTCACATTCCGATCACAATAACTCAATAGGAACGTCTGCTGACATATTTGCTCACGGGACATATTTTGCATAGTTTGTTTTTTTTTCTCTATATGTTATCGTGAAGTATCGAGGGTAATGACGGGTCTTTTCTTCGTTCACTTCCTTTGTTCGTATGTTGATTATTTTCTATCCAATTCGCGATTAGAATATCAAAAATAAAGTACGAACTAACGAATGGGTCAAATGAAAGCGAAAAAAAAACAAAACAATTATATTTATATATCACCTAATTACATGCAAAAATAACGCTGGAGCATGAATGATGTTGTCGTAATCAAAATGGGTCTTTCATCACCGACCACGAGTTGCGAAACAATATATATGTATATATAATATATGATATATATATATATATATATATAATTTTTTTCTACTATAAACGATGAGAAAGAAAAGAAGAATCGGCGACTATTTCTCTCTTTCTCCCTTTTTTCTCTTTCGCTTCCCAAAAAACAAAACAAATAGACGCGCGTCGTCCTCTTCCTTACTTCACCTCCAATCCACCCACTCCCAAGTGATAAGCAACACATTGGTCCAACGCCTCCAACCAATCAATATCGAACGTAATTCAGAGGTCGCCATAGACAATGAACAATCAAACAGAAAACGATCTCTCATTTCCTGTTTTCAAGATCAAATTCTACGCTAAATAGACTTATCTATTTCATTCCGTATCAATTTACGTACAAACGGACGCTCAGCGAAAGAAAAATCCATTTTGATTATTTAAACGTGTTTATTATGGTGAAAATTCACATATTCTGAAACGTGTCAGTGGTTCAAAGAGTAATTATTTAATTTTTTAGAAGCTCGACAAGCGCATCAAAGAAAAAGAGAACTTTCAAGTGGTTGGATAATGATTGTAATAAGATGTACTGAGAAAACGAGCGAGTCAGCGGATTTTTTCGAATAATTGTGTTTGTGTACAGGATTGAAATGATTTGCATGAAACTATGGTAACAATATGTGATTGTCATAGTTTACTTATGAAATCGTGACTAAGAAAAGTAACATCAACATATTTAAAATCAAATCTATTGACACACGAATGTGAATTGGAAACTTAATATTTGTAAGTCGTGAGTTTTGATTTGTCAGACAGCATACAAAAAAATACAAACTTTTTCTTTGATGTCGAGTGTGAAGGAAAAAAGGGCGAAAGTTCACTGAATTTACATTGCACGGAGTCACTCAATGAGGTACTTGAAACATTCCTATTGTTTTCGTTGTAGACAGGCTCTCCTTCTCCAGGGAGACTTGGCACGTATCAGTTTGATTAGCTTCATGATAACATTAATATAGATGATTTCCTCGATGTGATTACAAATGAGAAACTAACACAATGCCATTACTAACCATTCAGCTATTCATAGTATGAGCATAAAACCGAACTGAGCTGCCGTTATATCGCAGATTATTGTCCATTATTGAATACACCCTCGAAGTAAATGTGAAAATAGCAAAAAACTCAGGTTTTCAATAAACGATAGGTGTTTACTAAAGTTATATAACCAAAAAATCACGAAATGCTTTCCCACGCAAGCAAAGAGATTGCTTGTTTATAATAATCGAACAAAAACCTTTTGTTTCAAAGTACTCCTACGCAGCGATACGTACCGAGGCATAGCATTAGTTCGTGATTACTTCTTGCATTCATTGCGTGCTCTGGCAATTATTGAGCGGATATGAAGTGAAATACATGATTATAGAAAGATTAATTTGTTTTCGTACGCACAGATATTGTAAGGTCAAATCAGCAGAAAATGACATTTTGATCAATACAACCTGCCATTCACTTATATATGTTTATTCGAAAATACAATCTCTTTGAAGATTTCACATGATTAATTCCTTTCATTTCTAACAAAAAAAGAGTAAAGAAAATCCCGATCAATCCAAAAAGCAACAAGAAAATAATTCTTCTCTCCTTCTCTCTTTGCAAAAGCAAAATAAGCAGACGAACCGGATTAATAGTTAGTACACAGACTGACAACATTAATAAAATAATTTATGTGATGACAGAATGAAACAATACTCATTTGTAGAAAATTTTCTTCTTTGTGACGTCAAGCCACTTGTTCATAACGTTGTTTACGCATTTGATTTGCTAAACAACAAGCAAGAATGACTCCGACCAATGGAAATAACGCGATAGCAATGATGATTCCACCGAAAATTGGATAATTACTCTTAATAGCTGCGATTACGGTTGCATAACAACCCTAAACAGAATTTCAATTGTCTCTCTCTTTTCCGAAATAGAGACAAAATTCTTTTACATTAGTGTTGATATCTGCAGCAAGATATTCTTTTCTTAAATTGGCATTGGAGCATGTATGATTTAATGATTTCTTGCAACATGACGTTGGCACTCGAAGAAGTTGTTCGCCATATTGAGTTTGAAACCAATCTTCGTAGGAATCTACTCCGCAACATGATAACTATATCAAAGACAAATAAACTAGGACTGTTTCATTTTCATTCTCTTTCGGATAAGATTTCACGTACAACATTTTGAAGGCGATCAACATGAGACGCCATTGGCTCATTTGGATATTGTTGCATGACGTTCGATAGACTTGTTTTGAAAGTGTCTTCATACTAAAAGCATGAAAATACTCTCGTCTTTCTTTGCTTCATTGTACTTTCACACATACAGTCTGTTGTTTCATTAGAACCGTTACGGCTAATAAAACTTCAGCGACAAAGATGAGAAAAACAACAGTCGAATACTAGGAAATAGAAGAGAAATGTTATTGGAAATTATCAATTATGTGTTCTTACGATATATAATAGAGCGATATGCCCTTTAACTGTACACCTAAAGTCGGATTAAATTAATACGAGTCGTTACTTGTTGTTTTTAGCAGTGTTATCTTACCAGAATGCAAATAGACCAATAAAGAAGATAATGAGACCGAGACCAATCTAGATTAGAGAATCACTGAACAAGTGCAAAAGTGAAGTTGTCTAAAATTTCATACTAAAATATAAGGTGCCGATGAACTCATTTCCGGTGTTATATCAAGCAACGTTGAAAGTTGACCTCGTAAAACAATGCCAAGCAGAAATAGTATTCCACCGCTAATCTAAAATAAAAAGAAGCATAAATAGTGTTTTATTCAATTTGTAAGATATATACTCACCACAAATATAATATTAATGCAGATAAGTAACGTACGAAGCAAGGCAATGCTTGCCGATGCATGAAATCGATTCCAGTCCATCTATAATACTTGAAAATAAAGTGCGTCGAGAAAAAACAAAGGTATGTAACGAATAGTTTTTTCTGCGTAGATAATGATCGCTTTTTCCCTAGAATGAATAGTCGAGAGGATTCATGAATACAAATATAATGAAAAATTTCCATTCTCTCATTCTAGTTATTTGTTGAGAATAGATCGAATATATACTCCGTTCCACAGAGACATGTAGAATCTATATAGGGAAGAGGTTGACAATGTGAGGTAGATGTAACAAATATAGTTGTTTTTATTGTAATCAACAGACAAATGAAATGCAGTAGTTTACAAATTGAAGAAAGAGAAAATAATGAAGAATAAGACGAGCAGATGTCGAAAGAAAACAACAAGAAAAGAAAACTAAAAAGGAAATGAACGTTGACGGGATAAAACGAGTTCTAGACTGATTAGGTTTTGGATTCCAAGGTGATTGACAGATTTCATCTCGGATTCATCATTTATTTCAGACGAACTGACGAAAAGAGAAAAACAAAGAGATCGCGCGTTCATTTGTCTTACTCTAATGCGTATGCCGATGACATATTTGTTTGATTACTCTCGTGCATCCCGTTAGAGAATCAATGCGTCAGAAATGAAATTCCTTTTCTTTCTTTTTTCTCATCATATTTACACAGAGTTTTAGCATTCTAACATGTGCAATTTACAGCTTTCAGAACGCTTACGTTCTCTCGGTCTATCGAGTATTCTGCTTCTTCTTCTTCTTTCGTCTCGTCTTCTTCATACAAGAGCAAAACGGGAAATAAAAAGTTTTTCCTCGTATTAGTTTCTCGAAGAGGAAAAATGACATGTTTAGATTCTATCGTGCACTCATCAACAAATAGCAGCATTGACTCGAGTTTTTCTTTTGCATTAGTAATGAATAGTGCTGAAATATTTATTAGTCGTCAAAGAAAAGCTCATTAATGCATTGACATAGACAGAAGTCACCCATCAGTTTCCATTCGAACCAAAATTACTCAAACATCAGTTATGCATTCGAAAGAAAGTCTCTCATTAGAAATCAAATTAGAAATCTTTGACGATAAGTGAACTAACTTGGACAGGACAGGACAAGACAAGACAAAAGAAGAGCTCAGTTAAGATCTCTCCAGTTTATTGATCGAATTCGATGAATGATGATCTGTAAATAAGTGGGCGAATGCTCGTCAATCCTCGCCTATTTAATAAACAAAAAGAAATGCATTTAAATTCGCCCGAGCAATATATATATATATATGACATCGTACATCTTTTGAATAACTTATTGATTCATGATTTTGCTCGGTTCCGGATATTCTTTGATCAATTATGCATTGAATATTCGTACTTTCAAAAAAGCATTTCTAAGACATCGTTGTTTGCTTTGAACTTCTAATCAACATCAAGGAAAAAAGAATAAATCAACTTGATTACATTGACAGTTTTATCCAGAGACTTGTTTCGAATTTGCTTCGCATGCATTCTAGACTATTCTTGATTGCTGTGGAAAACCGACCATTCCCTCCGTTTTGATCTTTTCCCATTTAATTATTACCATCAGACATACTCGTTGTTTTATACCCGAGATCTTGTTCCTCATCTGTGCAGACATACTAATCACATTCTGTAAAAAGATCCATCGGATACAAACAATAACAAATGATTTTGTGTTGATTACATGTCGACTATCACAAGGCCATATGTTTCATATAAAACGACACGTAACTGTGATGATTAATGTACACACCTTTCTCTCACCTCTTCGCCTAGTTGGTGCCATTAGGTTTTTGACCTTGAGAGAGCATTCATCCAACAGATGTACTATATAAATCGTTTTAATTATTTTTTATTAAGAAGGAAAACCGACAAGTGATTACAGACGCAAAAAATCGAAAGAAACATCCGTTTCCACACATTCTTCTCTAGATATATGCATATATATATATTACAAAAAAAAGGAAAAGTAAAACTCTGTGCATTCTACGCAAATAAAGAAAAGATTCGTCATATGATTTCTGCATGATATCTGTGACAATAGCCAGTCAGTAGGAAAAAAACCAAAAAAGATGCTCGTGAGTTTGAAAAGATATTTTGCTGTGAGATTAAACTTTAATATATATATAGTATCTACCTAGAAACTGAAATGGAATAAAAGAAGTGAAATGAATCCAAGCACACAAAACGATGGACGTGAAATAAACGTATTAATTTTCGACGACAAAAAGAAAAAGAAAGCGAGAAGTTTTTCATTTAACATTTAGGTGTTTGACTTTCGAAAAATTTGTAGGTTGGATTTTCATAGCCATTCATTTGCAATGTATGCAATGCTTTTTCTTCTGGCGTACAAGAGTCAACTTCAGTGAATGTATAATTTTTCTCGTATTTACCATACTGATGTTTTCTTCGTTGTTGAATGATGAGACGAAAGATGACGATGCCGAAAATGATGCATACAAGTAGGATACTTCCAATAATATATGGAATATACGTTGGGAATGAAGGACGCCGAACAGATCGGGATTGATTATCATTATTTGGTAAGAATGGACGCATATCGTTGTATGCTTGCTCATCATTTGTTGGTACGAGTTTAACATCAAATGTAGCATCTGAATCAACGTCAACGTCCCAGTTACTATCACCAACTTCTACTGGATCAGCATTATTCGTTCCTTTTGTTGCACTATCGTCATCATCGTCGTCATAATCATCTTCCGTATCATAGTTGTATTCACTATTTGCATCGTTATCGTCATTAGTGACTTTATTTGATGGTGATTTCGAGAATGGATAGATCTTTTTCTCATCTCGGCCTAACGGTAAAATTCGAGGTTTGCTTGTTGTTGATAAAGAAGCCATGTAAGTTGATACTAGTTTGTCCGCTGCTTGATTGACTTCATCATAGTCCAAAAGAAGTTCATCTGCAAAACGAAAACATGAAGTTTAGTATAAGATAGACTGTTAGAGTGTTTTCTTTTCCGTACTAATTTCAGATTGGACTTCAGATTGGATCGTCGCGTCACGTTGGAGCTGAGTCAACGCTTGATTGATTTTATCAGCAATTGAACGTAATCGTTCATGAATGGATACTCGTTTACGTTCTGCTTGTAGAGGATCGACAGCACGTAAGCGTTCATAACGATTAACAAGATGTATACGATCTCGCAATAAAACATGAACGTAGTTGTATAAGGCTTCTTGAATCGTTTTCGGCTAAATAAAAAAAAAAACTCGATAATTAGAACCGAAGAAAGAAAAACAAAACAATATTTCATCGTTTCACACTTTATCGATTAATTTTTTTTCTCAAGAGCAATTTCGAGCACGATCGATTTGATAAACATTACTTACATTTCAAGGACTTCTAAAAGTCATAGCTAGAAGAGAAAAGCGAATCAAAGAACGAAATATTCGAAATGAGACAAGCTCGACGGCGACCGTTAAGTAATATATTCTCGAGTATTTACTTAACTATAAATATTCACCACTTCAATATTGATGTTCACTGAAATCATCTCATTGATGCACACACATTGCATCTTCTCTTTTTTTGTTCTCAACCATCGTGTACGATGCATTCATTCATTCGATCATCACTAGTCAATCAGACCACTTCACATATATTTCTATTCCTTTCGTTCGCATGTCAAATAAACATACAGACAACTGCACTTGGTATGCTTTTTCTCCTATGCATGTTACATTAGATAACAATACAAATAAACATCGCACGGAGCGGATTAGAAAAATCGATTTTCTTTTACCTTGAGTGGTTGTTCATTCCATGCAGTAATTAATTTTTGATTCGTTTCTTCTTTGGCTGCATCGAGTACTTGATCGAGATTATTTTCATGAACTTCATTGATACGTGTTCGTTCTTGACTAGCTGCTTGTTTAATCGTCTCATATTCTTGACGGTATTCGATTTCAGTTCTTTCATATTGTCTTTGGGCATCGGTCGGATTTTGTTTGGCTTGTGATTTGATATTATCTTGTTGATTTTGCCAACGAGATTTTAACTAAAAGATTAGATTGGAAGAAAAGAATTCGAGAAAGAAGAGAAATTTCCCACATCATCAATTTTTTGTTGATATTTTCGCCGAAAATCTTGCTTTTCTTTTGTAAATCGTTCATGTTCACTCAGAGTCAAATGGGATTTTTGCGGTGATGATAGTTTTATTTCTTCTTGATCATCGTTCGTATCTTCATCATCTAATCGACAAAAAAAGGCACATTACTTCTTCCAAGAGATCGACAAAACTGTACCAGAGAAATATCCTCGATCGGAATTCCATTGACGATAATCTTCCATCCAGTTTGGTTCGCCTTGACAAAAGAATAACAAAATGAAACTTAGAGAAAAACGAGCACCTCGTGCTCATTGACATACGTGATGCAAGTGACATAGCGATAATCTTCCGATGAGTTGCCATCGTGCTTGTCTTTGGTACGATAACGAAATCTTGTATAGGATCATCTTCTTTCAATAGATCATCATCCGAATCAGCGAAGCCTATTTCAAATTCAGTTTTGACACTATTATCTAAAGGAAGAAGCAGCGCAACTTTCTCTAGTCGAGTTCATTGTCTCTTAGAAAATACCATTTTGCGGACAGCAAATGTATTCAACACCACGGAAAGCAGACAGTCCACACCAATCAAGAGTGATAATCGAACTGTTTAATACCATTGATTTTTTCGTACAGTCAAGTGCTGCATATTGCTGCCATTTTTCAGGGCGTAAGCACTGACCAGTTTGATTAATACGATTGATTGTACAATCGAGAGTAGGATAGGTTGTTTCTTCGCGTTGAGAATTAACATGTAAACAACGAAATGGTTGCACGACTTCCTCAGATTGATCACCATCCTTACAACGCGAAACATTATTATCAACTGGCGGAAGCAGTTCACACCAATTCTCAAAACGTAATACAGTCTCGAGTCGAACGATATTACCAATATTAAGTGACGGATAAGCCTCAAAAAAAGAACGTAAAGTTCGAGTTGATCGTATGAACTAAATTTTACTTGTTGACAAAATTCAAGAATACTTTGTTCATTGTTAACACACGGACTAATTAAATGTTCAACCCATACTTGCCGTTGAACATCATAATAAAGATTTGCTTTGTTTGAGTCGCATCCTAATACGGCTACTTGAGGATAGTTATTATTCATTGAAGATTTGAGTACAGCTGCATAAGTCTTGAAAACAGTACAGGTTCATAATTCAATCAGCAATTAAATGACACTTACTGTGTAGATGAATGTGAGTAAAAAAACAAAACGTATTAAAAACAGCATTGTGATTGATAGATGAAATGAATCTGAAATGAGTAGAATAATCGAATAAATACTTGAAGAAGGGGAAAAATCTCAATTTGTTTATATAAACTGATAAAACATTGTTTTAGTTTTGTTTATCGATGCTATTGAGTCACGTAATTCACTCATTGATGACAAGTAAACACATTCGATATTTTATATAGCCATTAGCCATGAACAGGAAACCTTCGTAGAGAAGAATTTTATGAAAATACTCGCAGATCACTCCAAAGTAATAAACACATCTGAAAGCCGAATCTCAAGTGATTCTTTTATTAGTTTTAATTAATATTTACACAAGGCGACATCTACAGTGATTTTGATTCGTGGGAGGAAAATGCTAGTAGAACTTGCGAAAAAAGCGTATTTCACCAAGCCTTATTCCAGTATTCATTCGATCGATATAGATTTTAGATCAGTCCCATAAACGAACAAGATGTCAGCTACAAAAATATCGGAACTATCATGGTTTCACGATTTTCCACCGTTTTTTACGTAAATATGATTGTAGTTCTAATGTTAATTTGTATCTGTTGGGTTTGTATTTCAGTCTTCAGCCGAATCTTGATACCCGTCGGAAACAACTCGATGCTTGGTGTTCGCTTATTCTTGATTATTGCCGCATGAAAAAAGTCTGTACATTCGATGTAAATGATGCCAGTAAATTCCCACCATTTTCCAATGCGAAAATAAATCGTACGAGTTCATTTTTTCAAACTTGTTTTAAATTCATACGTTTGCAATTGCTTCCAGGTCAACTCGACAGTAACTTCATTCAGGTTATACTTGAAGAATTACGTAGTCGAGGCAATATCGAATGGGAGGATAAAAGTAAACGTCGATGCTTAGTTCTTTGGAAATCACCGGAAGAATGGGCGAAAACCATATATCAATGGGTATGTTCTACAGCTGATTCACGATCACTTAATCGTCTGTTCTCTTTCATTAGATCACAGCCCATGGTATGAATGGGACAGTTTGTACATTTTATGAATTATTACATGGTGATGACACACGTTCAGCCGGTAAAGAATTATTCTTGAATATCGATGAGAAACTTTTCGTTTTTGTTTTCTTCTCTAGAATTTCATAATATAGATCCACAACTTTTCCGTCGAGTTCTAGGAGAATTAGAAAAACGTGGTCAAGCGACGGTCTTTGCCGATAATGGCGCTGAAGGTGTTAAATTTTCCTAGAAAATGAACTCGATAAATTCAATAAAAACTATTTATCTTATTTTAACTGCAACAATGAATGCAAAAAATCTTAAGTTTAACTCGTGCTCTTCGTTCTTTTAGATGGTAGACGAAGTGACTAAGAAAACTCTTTCGAATATTCCATTGTTAAAGACCAAAGCAAGTCCACGTGATGGTGAACAATGGCGACAACGTTTGAAAGAAGAACTTCAAGCTCTAATTCAAGTAAGTATAGACAGCCGAATGATCTCTAAATACGTTCATTTGTGAGTTAGTATGTGAAAAACAATAAAGAAGCTGATAACGACTGGTTTCGATTGGAATCAAATCAAGAAGGAACACGTTGGTGGGGCAAAGCTTGGACTATTCAAGATATGTTACGTTACGAATTTGATATTGAATTTGATGTAAATATAAGAGAAGCTTTTGCTTATCTGAATCCATCGATTTCATTCTTCATCTAGATTCCAGTCACATATCCGATGTCTGCACCGGAAATAGCAATACCTGATCTCGATGGAAAAACAGCGAAAATGTATCGGTAAGTATTCGATTTGATTCGCATTACAAACCTTGAACATAATTGTTTTGTCTAGTGGAGGCAAAATCTGTATGACTGATCATTTTCAACCATTATGGGCCCGAAACGTACCTCGATTTGGCATTGCTCATGCACTTGCTCTCGGTGTAAGTTTTCTTTCTTTCTTTCTAGACAGTGATCAATTAGTCTTCTCAATGTTAATGTTTGAATAATAGCTCGGTCCATGGCTTGCTGTCGAAATACCAGACTTAATTGCTCGTGGTATTGTCGTCCATAAAGAAAAAACAGCGTCAACGACGACAGCTGACGGTTCATCATCGACAAAATAAATTGTGCTTATAGAAAAAAAAGCCCACGAAAGAAATATCTTTTTATCTATTTATCGTTATATATTGTCGAATAAAGCAAATATCAAACATCAGTGTTTTCTTTCAATTGCTGTCTTATAGAAGTTTTGAATGAATAGGTTCAAAATTAGCATCAATCAAGAGAACAATATCTGCAATTACCATTTGTCAGGAAGTCCTTTCCTTTTCAAGTCGATGTGCATGAAAACGATGAACTTGGCTAGTACATGATTACATAGTATAACAGATGAGAAATCGATCAGCAGTTGAGCGAGATAAACAGTCGAATGTACTTTCTTCTCACTAGTTGAGAGAATGTAATCAAACAGTTGTTAATTATTGATAAAATATTTTTTATCGATGAAAATTGACATCGCCGAAAGAACTAATCGACAATCAGTTTTGTTTCAGTTTACTTTTGCTGGTCATTTATTTGTACACATAAAGTCGTAATTCGAATTGAAAGAAGTATTTGCTTTACATAGAACAGTATAAATCGATTTGCACAGACAACGATGAAAACGATGACAGAGTTTGGTTGTATTTTCTTTTCTTGTATTTGGTTCTAATATACATCGAGTAAGAGAGAGAGAGAGAAGGAGGAAAATAGGAAGCATAAAAGATGACTAGTGAAAAATAACAACGTCTATTTCACTGTAAAATATATTTATATGTATAAATATATCATTCAAACGAAAGTTTCACGTATGATATCTACCATTCGTCGAATTCGTTGTTTTCGTTGTCATATGTTTATAAGGTTTAGTTGCTTCTTGTTGATCATTAATCTCACTGACATCGTCATCATCATCGATTTGATCATTCACAAATGTATCATCGTCTCCAACATCGTCATCTTCGTCATTACCATTAGTTTGTTCATCGTCATGTTGAAATACTTCCATTAAGCCTTGAACGATATTTTCCAAGTAATTATTTCCACCTAAAGCATCAATCTCGTCATAAACTTGTTTAGCTAAGTCATCACATGTTTGACGTGTATATTCAATCGAACCAAACTCGTGTAACAATTGCACGCAGTAACGTTTCAAGTCCATGTCATGTGTCCGTTGTTTTAATATATGAATGATTCGTGTATCTGTCTCACGTGTGTTCACAGCATGTAAGATCGGAAAAGAAAATTTTCCTTCGGTTAAATCTTCACAATAAGATTTATTATTGGTATATTCGTCCGATATTAAATTACAGTAATCATCGCGTATTTGAAATAAAAGTGATAATAATTGACATAATCTATCGAAATTGTACGTATTACGTATTTCAACAGGAGCAAATAATTGCATGAGACGCACAGCTAAGTTGAATAGCCCACCACATTTTCTTATAACCATTTGTCGGTATTCATCTTCGGATGGCGACACGAAATTGTCGCGCCACCAAATCTCCATTCCTTGACCATGATGTAATTCTAACATTTGTTCTAAAAATGAAAAGACACGATCAGATTTCGTGCTACTATCAGATACAGAACAGAGTCTATCATGAGACTCATAGACCCCGATGATGACGGTGACGCACATCATATGATGTATATCAAGTTTGCCCTTTTTTCACGGCAAAGATAAGCCAATTTAATTAGTTATTAAATCAAGGTTCTCTTTATAACCTACCGACATAGGAAAAAGCAAAAAAAAGTGCACGCGAAATTTGATGCATCATTCTCTTTGATTATAAAAATCATCAAGTATTTACACATTGATTTGATAAGAAGGCCTTTCTATCAAGCAATACTACTCATGGGCCTAAATTACTATCAATGAAAATCATACCGACGAAAATGTGTGTCACATCACTATGTTTCAACATGAGAGCCTTTTGCATTGCTAAAAAATAAACATAATTGGCAGCATTGATTGTCAATGGTACGCCATAGATACTATGAGCTACAGGCGAGCCGCGACGTAATTTTGAATTGTCTTCAATATCATCAATTAGTAACGATGCATTATGAAGCATTTCGACGAGTTCTCCAATAACGAGAAGTTTATCTTCAGGTATATTAAACCAATAATTAAATGCCTGGTGACAGAAATGAAATCTAGCTCATTTGTCATAGAAAATCGAAATTTTGTTTTACTTTAATCAATTTCGGACGGATTTGTTTGCCAGGAATAGTTCTTATATATTCATAAGGTTCCAGCAGGATCTATAATTCAATGTTATAATTGCACATCCATCAAAACAAACATGACGTACTTTATTTTCTGGATCCGAATCTGAAGATGATACCTCATCGTTTTTTAACATTGAGCAGAATGATCGAATAGATTTAGAAAATCTAGAACAAGAAAATGGATCTCTCGTTAGTAGAATTGGACCATCGTCGTTGCTTGTAGCGAACGGGTAAATGAGATGTTGCGTCATGACATGAAGAGATGCCAATATACATATTTATACACGAGTCTGATGCTTAATTCGAAACACTGTTCGGCATCACGACGATGTAAATGCGAATATTTGCGCAGGCAAAAAAGAAAGAGAGCAGAGGAAATTGGTTTTATACTCTTTTACTCTTTGTGTCCCTCTCTCTCTCTCCCTCTGTTCTTCTCTCCCTTTTCTCTTTATACTTTACAATGGACGGTGTCGAATCGATAGATAGACATTGAGTTTAATCAAAATGGACAACAAATATCAATCGACGACGACGCAGTTCGTTCGACGTTGCGTAATCTTTTGGTTCTTTGATATACATACATACGTGCACGTGTGTCACCGTGTATTTATATTTAAATTTTTCTGAACCGATATTCAGAAGTCTCATAATTATCCACCTATAATCAATAAAAGATGTGTCAATACTAGTTTATAGAAGGAAAAAAAGAGCAACATATGCGGATGAGACATATGATCGAATAGTAAATACGCAAGTAAACACCTGCATGTGGTGTTGATGAGGTCAAAAGGCTATCATGCAGAGAGAGAGAGAAGAAGCAGAAGAAAGAAAATGACGAAAGAATCATGAGAGGAAAATGTGATGAAAAGAGAAACTACTGAGTTTATTGAAGAGGATGACTGTATTTTTCGATCAACATACATCGTTTTTACCTGTTCGATAAGGAGCAATCGTAGTGTATTGGTATGCATATAACCAGCACGTCACTGCGATGATTCATTCATCGAATACTTGAGATTAACGTAGAGCAGACGTCAACATATATATATATATATAACACTTGTTTTGTATATAAAAAAGAGACTCTAATAAAACGCGCTAGTATGCGCCCGATAGAATAGTATTAGTTCTGATCTTGTATAGCAACCACTCTCTCGCTATTCTATACGTTTTCTCCAATTTCTATCTTTATTTGACGACAGGAAACACAAAATCGTTTGAAAAAACGGCCTACTTACGGACAGAAAAGAAAGAGAAAAAGACCCGACTCGTACGTACCTACTATATTTGATCAGAAAACAGTACAACTAGAAGTTTCTCAATCAACAATGTGTAGTACATTACATTTGAGGCCAGATGATAAAATAGACAGAACATACATCGGAGTAAAAGGTCACCGATTAGACGACGAGCAGACAATGATCAATCAATCGAACGCATCGATTGCTTTGATCATATTTTCCTTTGCTCAACATGAACACATCTACATAGACATCATCAAGTAAGCAAAAGAAATCTCTCGGCAATTTGTCAAAATGTATATTTTGATATAAATACCGAACACGCGACGTTACCGACGATAACAATGAGACTAATTGGTGAGGTTGGATAAATGTGTAGTTAGCAAATGAATATCTAGTAATGAAAAAGAAAGAGCTAGCTGATGGAACAAGAGAATGACGACGTCGATGATAAAAAAAAATCACATCACATCACATCAATATTGACGAGGGTATGAAAGATAGACGATGGTAAAAAGCTAATGTTATTCACAAAAGCCATTAGATATCATGAATAGATCATTAGTCAAGGTCGTGTACATATACTCGACCTGCTGTGTTCATGGTCAGAACATGTACAGCGATTCTGTGTCATCAGCAACTGACTACTCGTAGAACATTCTGATAGATCAGAGTCTTTAACGAGAACAAAAAAGCCAACAAGTAAAGAACGAAGATATAAAAAGATTCTTTATGATATCTACAGTGTGAATGAAATTAGAACAATATTAAAACAATGTAGACATGCATCAGTTTTTGCTATAAGTTTGATAAAAAGGATTCTTGGTCGAACAGAGCAGCTCTTCATCGAATTTTGGTGGCATTCGGCCTTCATTGTTATTATATGCATCTGCTAGCATATCACGCTGAACACAATAAGCTGTAAAACGACTACGAGCATATTCCTATACGTACGAATAAGTAGATTTTAGAAGACATTTTGAAAAGTAATTTACCATATAACCGAATTTGATCGATGTTGATACGGCCATATTGATAGCCCAGAGTGTCCACATGAAATGTGACGCGAGAGCATAATAGTTTGCCTCTTTCATTACTTGTCTTATTAAAGTTGCTCGATCCGAATCGGTCTTGAGTGAATCGATGTACGACGAAATGAAATTTGTCTAAATATACGATCGATTGTTGTTTATGAGAATCAAATGGATTTTTACTTGTTGAATTTCGTTTGGATAAAGTGTAAAATCAACTTTGTAAAAAGGCCATTCCGTTGCGGATTTGTAGTCAAACATGAACTCACAAAAGTGATTTCCAATATCAAAACCACTAGAAAGATCTTCGTGGTGAACGATTCGTCGAGAAGAAAATGGTTTCTTACCGGTAGTTATAAGAGCAATACTCGAAATCAATGACAGTATAATTGTCTGGTTCTGATTTTAAACGAAGAATATTTCCCGGTTGAAAATCATTGTGAGAAAAACAAACGGGACTATCAATCGTAGATAGTAAGCTCCTATATCGAAGAAGAAAAGATTTGTCTTTATATTCCTTTATCGAAAAGAGAACAATAGTTTACCTCATATTGTCATATTCTTCCTTAAAATTACATACTGCCTGAAATTCTTTAAAGATTGCACGATCTTGCTCACGCTCAAATCGATTGATGTTCGTAGGTAGATCGACAAGGTACCTACATACATCGATGAGAAAGACTTTTTTTCGAACAAAAATACAAACCGTTCGATTGTTCGATATAACCATGATGGTTCTTTGACCAACGGCATTTCCAGTCGATGAATTTCACTGAGGAGACCAGCGAGTTTTCGTGAGATGGGTTCATCGCTAAGCTCACTAGCAAGTAACGACTCAGCCTATAATTAAAATGATTTATCATTAATTCTACTCTTCTTAATATTTACGTCGTAATTCCTTTACTACGTTTCCATCATGGTATGCCTTTCCCCTATTTAGTTACCATAGCTAGAGATCGCTCGTTGACAGTCGGTTACCTAAGTAAAGCAATACTTACATCAACAAATTCTTCGAGACGTCCTTCAGGAAATATACCGTGCACACGTGGACCTATTTTTCTTTCAGACAACAACGTACAGACTACGCTGTCAATGAGTAATGTCCCACGATGTTGTCGATGTGATTCGCCGTAGATTCTGTTAGTGAATAATCAATCAGTCAAATAATGAACATCAATCAAACGAAAGCTACTACCTCAATAATACTTTTCGTGGTTCGTTGTTTTGTGTTTCGACATTTTCTGGTAAAGAACAGCAGTATAAATAATTTGATAAGCCACCACTAATACTCGAATAAATACAAAGACAGCAAATCAATGTGAAGAAACATACGTAATTCGATCCATTCGCATTTGTTCTACTGTAATTGTTGTCCAAGCGCCACTTAGAAAGTTCTGGCACCACTCCAACGCTTGTGAAGCACTTACTTTTTCTCGACTCATACCTGATGATCGTTGCAATAATCTAAATAGAAATTTTTCTCATACAATCATCCAATTTCTTCCTTTCTCTTCATTATTTCGCACTATATATAATTGAGTGCATATTAATTCGACTGATGCAAACTGTACGTCATGGTTGGCTACCTCAAATTAGTTGATGTATGCTTTTAATTGATGAACATTACATCGAATGATTTGCTCGATTTTTCAGTTCGAAAAGGACAGTAACAACACACTACAGATCCTCGACGAACATTTATGATTGCTTTCGAGCATAAATAATCGAAAAAATGTCTGCTTTATTGCTTGCGACTTACTTTTTAACTGGTTCGACCACTCGGTGAATCGAAATGATTATTTTATTCGCGAATGACATTGTTTTATCTAGAAACGAAAAAGAAAGACCACACTATGTCAATATTATTCTCAAGCACGATTCTATAACGATATTAAAGAACGAAAAAGCAAATATCGCACGAAATTTACCTGTTTCTCATCCACCAACATGGTGAATAAGTTGACAACCTTTTACAAATGGAAAGAGAAATTACATAGCACTCGCATAATTCTGACTCAGAATAACTAAGATGTATTTCGATTCGTACAACCAGGAGAAAAGAAAAAGAAAGACGAACATATCCAATAACACAATTACGTATATCGTTGATCCGGGAAATGATAAAGAGTAGTATACGTGGTATACTTCTTATAAATATGTCAACCAAAAATAGCACGTACACGTGACAGAACTATGACTTAAAAGACGTCATAGAACAAGATCGCATATGTATATCCTGCTGGTTCTCAATAAACTAAACCGAATTTGCCCGTACACATTGATGACTCATTGACTGGGTGAAGATGTCATATCTTCTCGTTTTCTTTTTATTAAATCAAAACAAATGAATCACAATGATATTCAAATGCATTCTATGTGATCGAAAGAATGTAACTAGTAGTATATACATTAGAATTTCTATGTTTGTAAAGGTTGTTCTTCTACTGTCGGTGGTTTAAGTGGATCTTCGTAGCGTTGAAATGGATTGGAAACGATTCGTGTATGTATTTCAACGAATAGTGGAACATAGATAAGCCAATCAGTAAAATCAACATAGTTTTTGCCTTCGCGATCAAACTTTTTCTTGCACTAAAAAATATAAGAATAAATTTTAAAAAAGTATTCAATATTCATCGGTCATTACGTGTTCGATATTCTCCTGCTCAATTCCACCGGCAGATAGTTCCACACATAATGTTTCTAATGGTACATAACCGTTGGGTGCAATCTTTTGACTTTTATCTGCCATCAGATAGAACAATTCCTACGAGCGAAAAAAGAAATCGAGTAAAGTTCAATTTCAAACTCTATACTAACCTTTGCTTTTTGCATTTTGATATCTAAGGCTTCATAATCGAATTTATTGATCAGATTACGTACAAACGGGCTAGAAGAAATAAACAGTGATTGAACGGATGCCAATGAAAATCCCTACTCTATTTGATTAACAGTTTCTGAAAGTGCTGCAATAATACTGAAGACTCGTAAATTGATCCGCTTAACACCTGGAATTTTCAGAATCTAAATACAATTCCATATTATTCTTTTCAGATACCACATGTGAAAGTACGTACAAATTTAATGTAATGGCATTCTTGATCAGAAAATAGATTGCCATTGATATGTCGAAGTGCATTTCCAAGTTCTTCAATATTCATTTCATAATCCTACACTCACAAATGAATGTAAAACAATTATCCTAACAAGTGTTTTCTCACGGTTGGTGGATGCAGTGCGTTCCATAATGGACTTTGTTGCCGTCGAAATCTTTCGACGCGCTTATATTTATACATGACTTTTTGTCGTTCTTCTTGATCAAGTGCAATTAAATGTTCGCGTTCACCTGAAGCGAAATTTCAAATCATACTTCTGTTCATTCAAATTCGATTTGATAAACATACCAAGTAACATTTCAATTCTCATACGTAATTGGGTTAATTTACTTGTACTCCAACGCACTTGTCCATTGAGTTGTTTGATTTCCTCTCGACTATTGATCTAATGGAAAACTCATTGGATTTTCAACTCTATACCGTTCTCTCTTACAGTTTGTATTTGAGTTTTTGACAGACGAGTTAATAACTGTTCAGTTGTATATGATGAGGCATAGCTTCTTAATTCGAAAATAGTTTTCTCAGTTGACTACAAAATAGAATGGATTCGATGCGATGAGAATGAACGAGTTGCAATCATACAAAATTCTTCTTTGGACTGAAGTCAGGATCTAGAACTTCAGGATAGAGTTCGACAATGGCTTCGGACGTTAAATGACTGATTTGTCCTGAAATGCGATGGTATGAGCGAATAGAATTTCGACATGAGCTTATTCCTACCAGTTGATGCGTTCAATGTTTGAGTAACGTCTGTTTCTTTCATCCGAAGTCCATCAAGGATGAAATTAATTTTGTCAATCTTTCGAGCGGTTTCAGACTGTGAGAGACATAACATGGAGGAAAGATCATTGAATTTTCTTATCTTACTTCCACCGGTGGTTCATCATCGTTATAACGTTCAGTAACGATTTCTTTTTCGAAATTAAGCATAGATTGACTTCGTTGATTACCGAGACTAATGTCAATTGAATAAAACGAGCAATCAATGAGAGTGCTATTTTACGTACATATCTTCATTTTCATCATCGTTACCATCAAACATTCGATGTTGTTTCGAACCACGTTTACGTCTTCGGCCACCCATATTTGTCCAAGCACTTCCCATGGTACTGCCTCGTTTCATATTTGTTATACTCGTCAAATCTGCTGGCGGATTCTGACCAGGATATGCTTCTTTCTGGTGTTTGATTGTATTTAAAAAGACACGTTCGTAGTTTATCATACGATCGGGACTGGAAGAAAAGGAAACTCGTTGAGGAAAATAACATGATTTAATCAACTACGTACTGAATGATGCAGAATTTATAGAGATAATCCATTGGATCGATGATTTCTTCAAGACTAGACTTTGTTAATGGAGGAACATCAACAATACGTTTTTTCGCACGTTTTTTCCTACAATGAGAATTGTGTTAGGTTAAAATGAAGACAGAACAAGGAACAAACGAACCTTAATTCTTCCATGAGTCTCAGTCGAACTTCCGGCGCTAGGTTAGGATCATTTAATAGAGCCTCTAAATCATTTTCATCAATTTTCGCCAATTTATCTGGATCAAGAAGCTGAAACACAAAATTTTGTAAAGTTTGTCCAGTGAAAACTTGTTCGTACCGCTTTCATTGGATCGTCAGGTTTCTTCGGAGTTCTTTTCGACAAGGGTGGTATATTCTAAAGAAGATCATCCATCTTAAAACATATTGTGTTTCCTTGACTCAATACATACGACTTTTGGTTTTTTCACCTGTGGTCTAGGAGTTGGTGTTATCCCTCCGACACCTTCAATACCATTTAATAATGGATCAATTGCTAAATTATCGCCAGTAGAACAGATGAGAATTTGAAGGATTTACAAGCAAAAGGTTAATTTACCTTTGAGTTTGCTTTTGATCTTTGGATTTGAATTGATCTCTTTCAAAAGTTTTTCTCGTATACTTGCTGGAAGGTTTTTTAATTGAAGTAATGCTGATATGACTTCTGCGGATAACTGTTCGAGATTTTTAACAATATCTTCGAGAATTTCAAGTGGAACCTCTCCCATATGTTCTAACAGTTTTTTTAACGCTTCCGGTGGAAGTTTATTGGCGCGCACTAGAAGTTCTTTGACCAATTTTGGCGTTAATGTTATGACTGATTTCTATAAATGATCAGAATGACGATGGGAAGAGATTTCTCAGAGGATTAACTTACAATTAATTCTGTGAGAAGTTCGGATGAAATACCAGCTGATGCGCGCAACATTTCTTGTAAGATCATGGCTTGAGTATTTGAATCAAGTTCTGGGAGATTATTAATGATTTCTTTCATAACACGCTGTTTAACATCCGACTGTAAACTTGCTAAGCTCCGCGCTAATTCAATCAGATCCTTTCCCGACATCTTCTCAATACTTTTCAACACTTTTTCTAAGACTTCAGGCGAAATGTCTTTGAAATTTTGCAGAACAGTGAGCAAGGTTGTTGGATCGATGGGATTTTTCGTCATTTCTTCAATTAACTTTTGTTTCATTTCACTACTAATCTGTCCGCTATTCAATAGTTGTTGCAAGAGATCTTTTTTACTTGGATCATTGGCAAGATCTAGAAGAAAACGTCAATCTCATTATTTAGAAACGATAGTGAAGAAAACAAACCAGCTAAGAATCGATCACGTTCTTCAGGGCTCATCTGATTCAAATTTTTGATCATTTCGTTCACTAGTTTCTTTCGTAATGCTGGATCTAAGCTATCACGATTTTCTAACATCTTTTCAATTAATTTTTTGCGTTCTTCTAGAGGCAAATCGTCGACATTTTTCAACATTTCTTCTAATAATTTTGCTCGGACAGATGGGTCTAAGTTTGGATTATTCAGCATCTTCTCCATTAGTTTTGCTCGTTCTTCTGGTGGTAAATTATGCATTTCTCTCAATAAGTCACTGATCATTTGTTTTTGCACATCGACCGGCATACCTAAAGAAAAATCTTCGTTCAATGAAAAAGAAGAGAAACAAACATGTGAACACACCCGCAGCTGATTTCAGTAGATCATCGACGAGTTTTTCTTTCATTTCGAGTGGTAATTCATCGAATTTCTCCAGAATTTGCTTGAGTAATTCTTTCTGCTCTTTCGCTGATAAAGTTGTTATGTTCGATATCAACTGCGAGACGGTTTCCGGTGGAAGATCTTTTAAATTAGAGACTAATTTATCCATTAGCTGCTTTCTTACTGCCGGATCTGTGACACTATTGATTTCATTCATCAGCTGTCCAAGAACTTTCTCGCGTTCTTCTTTAGTTAAACTAGAGGGATTTTCCAGAAGTTTCGAAAGCATCTTCACGCGAGTCTCCTGGTCCAAACCAGAATCCTTATTCAGTAAATCTTGAATCTAAACCAGCAGAACAACACGTTTATACTCACTTCGACACAATCGATAAACTTACAAGTTTTTCTTTTACAGCCGGTGGGAGATTTTCCACGTTGTCCAGCAATCCTCTCATTACTCTCTCCTTCAAAGCCGGATCAAGTCCATCCAAGTTTCTCATCAATGTTTCTAGTTGTTCGGCATTCAAATTTCCTTGATTTTTCAGCAGTTCACCGATAACAGCTGCTTTTTGTTCGTCGCTTAACTTATCCATCGAATTCATCACATCAGCAAGTAGTTTGTTTCGTAACTCTTCAGGTAAATTATTCATATGTCGAGCTAATTCAGCCAGTGATGACGGTGCTAAC